AATTGCGAAATCCGGAACTTGCAAAAACGAATGCAGTTATCAGCTAAGTATGCACAATTTACCACATCATATAAGTTATTCTGATTTGTTTCTGTGTATGAAAAAATTTTGAAAGTTTTTGCTTTTGTTGATTTTTTGAAGAAAAAATGTTTTTCATAAATTACCTCAATATTTTCTGCAGGTAGGGTTTTCGATCCAGTTTTGACAGTTTTCTTTTTATTTTTATTGGATCGTTTTGAGCCTTTGCTTTTGCTAAATTTCATTTGCAGATATTCGTAAATTCGACTGAAATTTTTGATATATTTTGCTGATAAATTGGAGTAAAAACCGCTTCTTTCTCGTCAGATAAACTCAAAAATATAGGTTGCGGGTTGATCAGATTTCAATTTTTTCTCATTCTGTGTAAAAGAACCCCCGTCGTCTAAATTGTTGGCTGAAAGAAGAAGTTTGACATACATCGCCCTCGCTTTCAGCACAATATCAGATCCAAATAATAATATAATAATTTTTTACCATGCGAAGTCATTAAAAGAACGGAATTACAATTTAAGAATTTCTTCCAAAAAACGTCACTTGAGAGAGCGGCATCCATAAGACTAGATTAGGCCTAATTTCAGGCGTCTCAGAGAGAAAATCAAAATCCGTTTTTGGATATCCCTCTAGATAGGAGAAAGAAAAACTTGAAATGAGAGCCCAACTTGCTCACAAAAGATGGAAGGGGAAAAGTCTAACTGTTCAGTAGAAATAGAAATTACGGGTTTACCAGAAACAAATTCTTCAAAGAAAACATTGTCGAAAAACAGTGAAGGAGGAAAACTCAGATTAATTATAGTTTGAGTACAAAATAGCTTATTTATCATGTCACTATTAGCTTGAAAACAATTATCAAAAAACTGATGGTTGAAGTTGTTAAGTTGCCGGTTATTAAAATTTCTTATGATTTCTTAAACTTAAGGAACAAAAAAAGCTGATGCAAACTTTTTGAGTATTGCGACAGCTCTCGGTATGTTTCTCTATTTGAATTTTTTGTTGCATTTTTTATTAATTTTTGGACTAATATTCACTCCGTTTTACTATTTACAAACTTTTTAACTGTTCAAAATTATGTAATTCTTTAATAGTACAAATTTCATAAGTGAATTTTATGTGTTTGATTGATTCAAATTTCTTTCTGTAGCATATGTTTTTTAAAACCATAGTTTTAGTTTTTGTTGTTTGTTAAATGTTAGTTTATTGCTTGCCAACCAAAAATACCGAACCAAGGTTGACCTCCACGCAAAAAAAATGCAATTTCATACAGTTTCATTCAACACCCCGTAGCAAACAAAGGCTGTTTTTCTAAGTAAAAAATTTAAATGGATAACCTGGCCTCAATTTTTGTTTTTATTTTCCTGTACATAATTGATCTATTTCACCTCTTACATTAGAATTACATAGTATCTCTTCCAAAAAATGGAAAAATATTTTAGTGTTATTTCTTAAAATTTTGCATAAAAAATTAATTTTTATTGCGTGTCTTCTTTATTAAATAAAAATCTTGAAAATTGTTAAATTAAGAAAATTATTGTCAAAGCATTACAAGTTTGTAGAAAAAGTAGAAAAGATCAAACTCTGCTAGCGAAATTTTTCTGAATTTCTGTTTTGTGTGAGGCTGCTAAAAAGATTTTTTTTATTATGTCACGGGACTACCTAGTCAAATAAGGGAGGTTATCTTGCAAGATACTAGTAAAGAAGTAGCATCTCTTTTACCAAACTTAGCAAAAATTTTGCAAAATCTTGTAAGCTAATATTTTTCGCAGCAAGATCATTAAACATATTATTTTAAGAGAAAAAAGCAGCTTTACACGCAAAGGCAGCCCATAGCGTTTCTGTAGTAAGGTTCTACTACGAGAAACATGTGGTACGGTTTGAAAACTTAAAAAATCAAAAAGAAAGAAAAAAGAAAACAACAAACCGCAAATCACAATTCGAACATAAATGTTTATTAACTCTATGTGACTCTATATCAAAAATAGGAAATAAGTAACAAAAAATAAACTTTAACCCAGTAGAGTTGCAAAACTGGATAAATTGTTATGAAAAAATTTTAAAGTGTTAATTAAAAATGCATAAATTATAGATAAAACAAAAAATTTTATTCATTACGAGAGCTGAAAATTGAGCCTGTACATGGTGAACCCAATTTTTATCTCCCAATTTGAACCCATTTTTTTGTGAATTTAATCAAATTGGATCTCCATAGTGGTTTTCTGGCGGTCAGAAAATTTTTTTTAAAAAGTTTTCAAAGTATTTTATCTTGCAAGATTTGCAAGCTACACCCCCCTTTCAAGATTCTTGCAAGACAGCCTCCACTCCTGCAAAACCTTGCAACATAACCCTCATTTGCAAGAATCTTGCAAGATATTGCAAGATAACTCTTCCTTGATCAGCTAGGGCATACTTAAGAATAAACGGGAAAAATCAGATTTTTTGTTGATAAAATGATGGTTTCAAAAACTAATTCACAGACGGTAAAGTGCAGTCGACAGTCGGAACTTATTTAGGCAATGATTTTGTTTGTTTGAACAAAATTACGTCAGTCTTGAATGTGCGGAAGTAAGACTAGCGGACTATACTTCGACAGGCCTGATAGCCTACCATAGACTCTCCTCGAATCGCAGAAGCATCAATTATTATTATTATATTTAGTTTTGCTCGTGAAGCATGCTATCTTCAAAGATACTGAAGTTCTGTTATATTAAGTCAAGCGTAGGTTTCATCAAGACGTCTTACGAAGAGTTCAAAGAGTTAGCGGTATACTTTAGCCTCGTTTATTTATAAATGTTAGATTTGACAACATAGGTTTTGGACCAACATAAATTATTTGCTGATATAGTCTAGGTTTGTCTAGGTTTGTGTTGCACGATGTCGTGTGGTATGTATCTATCTGCATACAAAACCATATGAAAATTTCGAGTTTCAGTTTGCCTGATTTGTTGAACAGTTTTAGTTTTACACTCTCAGGAGAGGCTAGACTGAAATAGCGGTTGTTCATTTTATGAGAGCTGTCTGTTTAATTTGTTCTCGCATAATAAATTTTATGGCTTTACTATATAGTCGCTGATGCAGACCACTTCAGGCTTGAGTTCTTTTTGTTTGAAGTTTCTTACCGACTTTATAACGGTTTAATAAGTTACCCTCAGTGTTTTGCTGTAATTTTGAGCACAATGAAACTTTGTGAAGCTTGCGAACTTTTCTTTTGCTTTTCTTTGGTATTTTTTCCCAAAACTCTTTGATTACAATACATGAGTAACGCATCTCATTTTATGCGAGAATAGATTTCTTCGTTCTCTCATTGTGTTTTCGGTCTATTATGCAGCCAGGATGCCTTCTTTGAAACATATGTTCAGGGGCGGATCAATGTTCAGGGTTATTTAAAAAAAAACTTTTAGACGACAAAGAAGACCCTGTTTCGGCCACATTTGCTGCGCCGCAGGCAAAATTTTGAAAAAAGCCTTTTGGGCACTTTCTGGAAAATGTTGACCAAAAATCGCGTTTGTTCAGCGCGCGCTTCCCTCTTAAAGTATTCACTAATTTTGAGGGGGAAGAGCGCGCCGAAAAAACGCGATGGTACTACTATGATAGAGTGGTCCCTCGAAAAAGCAACTACGATAGACAGTTCGCACATGCATTCCGCATGTTATAATTTTGAAAACTAGTACCTTTACAAAATTTTAACCTGGGATTCAGAAACCTTCAGATTAAAAATTGGAGTATATCAAGATGTTATATATTTAATATCGAGAAACATGCCCGCTTTAACATATTTTATGGTTTAAAAACCAAACTTTGATTGGCTTATTTGTCATCGAAATTCAATAAAGGCAACTTTTTTTCAATTTTCTACCTTAATATGTCGAGAGGGGAGGTTTTACGAAACAAGGGAACTTAAAACTTGTTTGAAAATATACTGCGACATCTTTCTGAATTGCGAAACCATAATTGTTAAACATTTCAGAGCCCTATGTGTCTTATTCGCAAGGGACCTGGTTATTCTCAAGAGACCTCTCTATCATAGTAGAACTAACGCCATTTTCAGGTCAACATTTACCATAAACTGCCCAAAACGCTATTATCTGCCTGCTTTTTTCTTTCAAAATTTTACCCGTGGCACAGAAAATTTGGCCAAAACAGGGTCTTCTTTCAGAGCCCTAACATTTTAGAGTCCTATGTGTCTTTTTCGCAAGGGACCTGGTTATTTTCAAGGGACCTCTCTATCATAGTAGTACCAACGCAATTTAAGGTCCACATTTTCCATAAACTGCCCAAAACGCTCTTTTCTGCCTGTTTTTTTCAAAATTTTAGGGTACTTCAGCCAAAATTGGATATCTCAAAATATTGTAAAGGGAGGCCTTTAGGTCGGCAGGGGGTGTACTCTCTGAGAAAGGGGGGCCGTCGCCCCCCCCCCCTCCTTAAAACCGCTACAGCATATGTTTGAAATCAAAGCCCGGGATGACAAAAAATTTTTATCATACAATTTTCATTTTTGAAAGAAATGCTTGTCATACTCTTTCATACAATTTCATAGAGCAAAAGGAAGTGTGTGAAAATAGCAAAAAGCGCCTTTTTCCCTAATATGAAATTTTATAAAGAGTATTTTTTCTATACTGTGGAATTAAAGCTTTATAGCCTTTATAGAGCTTTTTCATCAGTCTTTTTATCCTCAAAATTGTATGAAAATTGTATGATAAGCATTTTTTTACCGAACATTTTTAATACTTTTTTTAATGACCAGAAAGCTTCAAAAGAGGCAAATAGACCAAAAATGTTCATTAAAAGTTTTCATAACTTTTTAAAAATTTTGTATGAATTTATTGTATGACAAGCATTTTTCCATAGGCTTCATATATGAAAACGTATGATAAGCATTTTTCTTCTATGGACGTCAACCTGGGAGGAGTTTAAAATATAAGTTGGCTTAATAAAAGTTGGCTTAATAACTCGTTTTTTGTTCTTTTTAGTTTCATCACAATTTAAACGACTACTCTCCTACCCAAGTAACGATTTGAGTACTTCGTAAAATTGACCTTTACCATTATCAACTTGGAAAGACAAGGTCAACTTAGAATCGCAATAGCCTCCCAAATTATTTTACTTTCAAATTCCTATAATCTACCATATATTCCGATATCAATTGTTATTTATCTCAATTTTCTGGTCACTTAAAACTGTAATTTTGATTAATTCAGAAAATAAATCAGTAATCACAGTACCATATGATAGTGAAGTGTTTCTTTTTCAAAATTGCTTCCTCGTTAATTACTGAATTGCCAAAAAACAATCAGTTTTAATTTAAGAATCTACATTCCAAAGTATTTTACACAGTCAGTGTTTAACATTATCTTCTCATATTGTGACATCAAGACTATGGGCAGCAGCAGCAGAAGGTACGGCAGTTTGAAGGAGGCGGGACTGTACTTGGTGGGTGTGATCGTGTTATGTCTCAGTGCCCTGTTCGCAGCCATGGCCCACTTCAGCCATGACGCAGACGGGGGCGACAGATTCCACCAGGGACTGTGGTACACATGTCGACACGGAATCTGCTTCCAATACGGTACATCTCTCACTCTAACAGGAAATTTTTCAAATATGAGAAAAAGAATGAATGTAACAAAATCATTATATCAATAGCAGGACACTATTAAGGTATTTGTTCCCATCAATCCAACGGACTACTTGAACTTTTTTGTAGTTTTCATACACCCGGGTTGGCCAAAGATTATGAAAAACTTCTGGCCATACATTTCCATTTAACTCGAAAACTACAGAAAGTTATACAATATCTCTATGACGATAAAAAATGTTTCATGCAAAAAAACTTATTGACTAGCCTTCTTTCCGAAAACAATTTTCAATTTTTGCTAAATTTGTTTTTTTTTGGAATACACAATAACCATGAATTTTATAGATTAAGAAATTCCCCTGGTTGATGGGTAGGAACCTCACCGATGTTACGCAACTTTATAATATTTGAATGAGATGGCTAGAACTACTCAGAACTACGAATGAAAACCTGAAAGTGCTAGAACGTTTTCAGTCAAAAATACTAAAAACCAAGAAACAAGACAGATTGAAATATGTTGTACCAAAAAACACGAAGTTAGAATATTCGCACAAAAAATCTAAATAATTTTTTTCAATTTTATAGGCTGCTCTAGTTTAAAGAAAAAAAATCACAGATTTTCTCAGTAAAATTTTATTTCAAAAATGTTAATTTGAGCATAAAAGTGATATTACGACTAAACCAGAAGAAATATAATTTCTTGAATTTTCAAATTTTACTTGGATTTTCTACAAAACCCAAAGTTTCTACAGATTCCAAAATTCAAAATTGCAATTATAAGTTCTACTTTGGTGGGCCTTTTGAATCGCAAGACTGTATTAGCAGTAGAGTGGTTAGTGTTTTGACATTTCATTAGTAATAAGATAATACAGTTGATGCCTTTTTAATACCTCAATTAAATCAAAAGTTTTTTTTGTTTCATACAACTGTATAATTGTTAAAATATCATTTCATAAATTTTCCATTTCGATAAATTTTGCAAGACTTTTGAATTCGTAATTTATTGGCATTTCGGTTTGGGTTTGATTTATTCCATTTTATTACATGCAAATTGGGTTTGGTTCCATATAAATTTTTGCATTCCAAAGTATCACATGCAAAAATTCAGTTTTTGTTCATTTTAAAGCTCCTGAATCTTCGCTGTTTTTCGCTTGTGTTTGCAAAGCTGCAGCTTTGCCTCTGTTAAATATAGATGTTGTATGATAACTGTTTTTCAAAACAATCTGCGAATTGAAATGTTTAAATTTTTTCTTGTACAGCCTTTTTCCTCGTATAAGCACTTTTCTTGTATCGAATTGCATGATACGCGTTTTTCTGGTATGGAATTTCATGATAAGCAGTTTTCGTGCATGGAGGTCAACCCGGGTAATTAGGATAATTTAAAGTAGAACCATTTTTATATTCTGTCGATTATTGTTCCGTTTTTCGAAGAAAGTGAGGAATATATTTGCCCGGGTTGTTGTTTTTACGACAGTATTATCATACGCGGCAGTTATAGCAAAGTTATCCGAAAAAACTTTTTCCTCACTTCAATGATAAGCATTTTTCTGCTATGAAAAGAGACAAAGTGCACAAATTTTGGAAAATCTTCGAGGATAAATCAACTTGCATTTAAAGTAGATAGGTACCATTTTCATCGCTTTTGAAATATTAACTTGATTGCTCTCTTTCATTTTGACTCGACTATGACTATGAACATACAAAATCATTAGTTCAATTAAACAGATTTTTTAGAATAATGTTTTACATTGGTTCTTGTTCAATTTGATTGAAACTTAGATTTGTTTGCTACTTTTTGTACGACAAATTGTTGCTTCAATAAGTTCGGATACTAATTTTGATCATAGAAATAACAAAAGAGAACCTCTGATTTGATCAAAGAAATAGCAGAATTTTAATGCGAGACGGCCAAACCTTTGGTTACTATGTTTGAGTAACCAAAGTTTATGTCATTTGTGTTTCGTTACGAACACAACCAGAAAACTTTAAGAAATTAAAATGTAAAAAATCAATATTTTTCATTAATGGAAAAATGCTAGTCATGCAATTTCCATATATGAAAAAAATCCTAATCATAGACCTTTCATGCAAATTTCTGTAAATATGGAATTGCATGAAAAGTGAATGATTAGCATTTTTCCATATATGAAAATTGTATGACTAGCATTTTTGTCAACCCGGGTGTATGATTGTTGCCTTTATTATGAGACTCACTTAAGTTATGTGATTAGGTTTAAGATCATTTATCCACGAGGGATAGGACCAACATACGAGCTGTACAGCTCATCACGGCGAACCGCTGTTGTGCCCCTGCTTAAGAACTACATGCAATTTTTTTGGTTATTTTTCTGGGCTGGGTAATGTTGCCTCACCCTCAAGCAACGAACACGGATCATGGTGGGCCTCGAACATCCGACCTTTCGATTGAGAGGCGGAGACGTAACCACTTCACCACTGCTCCCCCGATTGAAATTAACGTTCACATTGGGCTCGTGCCTCAGACATCTGACTTTACTTCTGTGCCAAGGAAAAAAGGCTGCGAAAACTTGAGACTAGCATAATCAGTCTCTGCAATGATTGAATGATTTTTCAGTAGGTTGTTAGCCGGGGAAGTTCTGAATTCAGATTTGATAACGGTTGCTTATTGTACTTCTCAATATATTCGGAACGAATTGTTCCAAATGTCGCAGAAAATGATAAAAATTGTGCGCCTGATGTGATTACTGTTTTCATTTGGCATCGAGAGAGAATTATTTGGAGATTTGATTTGAAGTTTTTTCAAATCAAAATCCAGAAAAAAAATTTTGACCAAAAAAGATTTCGATCTGAAATTTTCAGTGTTGATTCGTGATAGCGTTTTGATGGATTTTTACAATCAGGGTCTGAAAAAAAACAAGCAATTTAGCATTAAATTTTTCAATATTCCAATCTAAAAAAACATTGGGAGCTTTTATCGCCAACTTTTGTCATATATACATTCGTACATACGGTGTGCAATCGAAACATTCACACGGCTGTGCGCTGGTACGCTTTTGTGTGGATGCAATCTGCTAACAATCTTAGCAACTTCGGAGCAGGTTGAGTCAATGGGGTCAACAGTAGCTCGTATTCCTATATGACAAATAAGCATCTGTCTTGCAGCAATCTAAGCAACTTCGGAGCAAGTTGACTCATTGGAGGAAACATTTGTTTGTGTTCCTACGGGACGAAAAAGCATCTGGTTCATTGTTTCGTACGGTTAAGTGTGACTGCCATCTTCTACCAGTCTAAGCAATTTCGGAGCAGGTTGCATCAGTGGAGGACACATTTGTTTGTATTCCAATGTGACGAATAAGCATATTGTCCATTGTTTCGTATGGTTTAGTGTGAATGCACTCTTCTGTAAATCTAAGCAAACTTGGAGCAGGTTGAATCAATGGGGGAAACAGTTGTTCGTATTCCTATATGACAAATAAGCATCTGTCTTGTAGCAGTCTAAGTAACTTCGGAGCAGGTTGACTCAATGGGTTTTAGCAGTTGTTTGTATTTCTATGGCACGAACGAGCATCTGGTCCAATATTTTGTATGGTTTATTAAGACTGTATTCTTCTATAAATTTAGTTTGTATTGAGCAGTTTGACTCAATAAAATCAATATTTGTTTGTATTCCTATGGGACGAACAATCATCTGGTTCATTGTTTTGTATGGTTTAGTGTGACTGTCACCTTCTACGAGTCTAAGCAACTTCGATGCAGGTTGAATCCGTGGAGGACACATTTGTTTGTATTCCAATGTGACGAATAAGCATATTGTTTATTGTTTCGTATGGTTTTTTGAAATTGCAATCAGCTAGAAATCTTAGCATCTTTGGAGCAGGTTAACTCAATGGGGTCAATAGTTGTTTGTATTCTGATGTGAAGAATAAGCATCTGTTCCATTGTTGCGTATGATTTAGCGCGGTCGCAATCTTTTTACAGTCTAAGCAACTTCCGAGCAGAATGAGTCAATGGAGGAAACAGTTGTTTGTGTTCCTATGCGTTGAATAAGCATCTGGTCCATTCTTTCGTATGATTTAGTGTGGTTGAAATCTGCTAGCAATCCTCGCAAATTCGGAGCAGGTTGACTCAATGGAGGAAACAGATGTTCGTGTTTTTATGGGACGAACAAGCATCTGGTCAATTGTTTCGCATGGTTTGGTGTGACTGTATCTTCTACCAATCTAAGCAACTTCGGAGCAGGTTGAATCAATGGAGGACACATTTTTTGTATTCCTATTTGACGAATAAGCATATTGTCAATTGTTTCGTATGATTTTTTAAATTTGCAATCCGCTAGCAATCTTAGCAACTTCAGAGCTCTCAAAGGGAGAAAACAGTTGCTTATATTTCTTTGTGACGATAATATATGGTCCGTTGTTTTGTATGTTTATTTTGGCTCAAATCTGATAGCAATCATAGCAACCTCTGAGCAATAGCAACCTAATAGGCGTCAACAGTTGCTTGTACTCCCATGTAACGAATAAGTATCTTGTTCTCGGTTTCGTATGGTTTAGTGTGGTTGCAATCTTTCATCCATCTAAGCAACTTTGGAGCAAGTTGACTCAATTGAGGAAATAGTTATTTGTATTCCTATGTGAGGAAAAGCATCTGGTCTAATGTTTCGTATGGTTTAGTGTGGTTGAAATCTGCTAGAATCTTAGCAACTTCGGAGCAAGTTGACTCAATTGAAGAAACAGTTGTTAGAATCCCTATATGACGAATAAGAGGATGCAAAAATTTTTCATACTCAATGTTAATACAGTGGGTTTTTTAAAATCTCTTGGAAGCTGATATCTTCTAGCGAGCGCACTTCCTACACGTGTCCGCTGGGTGCTTTGAAAGTGATCCGCGTTGAAACGTTTGGATTTTGGGTCATTTTGCACTGGGGTGGGGCAACAAACGCATCTTAGTAGACCAATTTCTTGCAGGACCTTATTAGTGCTAGTTAGGGGCATGTGAGGGCCGAGGATGTTGTTTTACGCATGTCAAAAGTTAATTTGCGGTTTTTCCAAAAGTATTGATATTAACTTTAACACCTGATTTTGTCTAAATTTTGATTGTCCTGATTAGGCTGATAATCACTCAACTAGGCCATTAAATTATCGTAGCGTACAGTTCTAAACCTCTATAAGTCCAAGGTAAGGCTATCTAAGACGATCTTGCAATTTAGCCAAGTGTACATTTGAATATCTAATTCTACAATTTGTATTCCTATGTGACGAATAACTCGCATTGCTCGTCCATTGTTTTGTATGGTCTAGTGTGATATGTTAACCTGTTGAGTTTTTTATTTACTTCAGGAAATGGCAAAATAAACACAGCGAGAGCTTTCCTGATTATGGACCACCTGCTCTGTGCATGTCTGTTGGCCACACTCGTCTACTCCTTCTCCAAGAGACACACTATCTATTGCCGCCTCCTCCTCTTCTTAAGCGTCCTCCATTGTAAGTGAACCCAAGCAACATCATTTTCAAATTGTATCACCCAAAAGAACTGAGGCGAACTTATCTTTTTTTGGTAGGCCAAGTAAAAGGCCCAAACCAATATTTCGTCATCGACTTCAGGTTTTCATCCTTTACAATTTTTAAATGAACAGAATTGAGATTTGCGAGACAGAACGATATGATTATAGATGAGAAGTTGTACTGAGGACTTAAATCATGACTCCAAAGCATTCATGAGATCAATGGTCATTTTTGAATTGACCATTGGCATGTGTGAATTGGATATATGATACCACCCTGAATAACCTATTTTTTTTTCATAAAAACAAACAGAGATGGACACTAAATCGTTGCACCATAATTCTCAAAACTAGGCTTTTCTGAACTCTTTCAGTGCAGGAATCTTCTAAAAGCATTTAGCTTTTGATGGAGTTTGATTTTTATTTGGAGACATGCTACTTGTTTTTAAGCGAGGTTGTGGTCGCATGGTTGTTTTGTATTGTATTGTATTGTATTGTTTTGTATTGTATTGTTTTGTATTGTACTGTATTGTATTGTACTGTATTGTATTGTATTGTATTGTATTGTATTGTATTGTATTGTATTGTATTGTATTGTATTGTATTGTATTGTATTGTATTGTTTTGTATTGTATTGTATTGTATTGTATTGTATTGTATTGTATTGTATTGTATTGTATTGTATTGTATTGTATTGTATTGTATTGTATTGTATTGTATTGTATTGTATTGTATTGTATCGTTTTGTATTGTATTGTATTGTATTGTATTGTATTGTATTGTATTGTATTGTTTTGTTTTGTATTGTATTGAATTGTATTGTATTGTATTGTATTGTATTGTATTGTTTTGTATTGTATTGTATTGTATTGTATTGTATTGTATTGTATTGTATTGTATTGTATTGTATTGTATTGTTTTGTATTGTATTGTATTGTATTGTATTGTATTGTATTGTATTGTATTGTATTGTATTGTATTGTATTGAATTGTATTGTATTGTATTGTATTGTATTGTATTGTATTGTATTGTATTGTATTGTATTGTATTGTTTTGTATTGTATTGTATTGTATTGTTGTATAGTATTGTTGTATTGCTTCAGCCCTGTTCCTCTTCATCGCATGCTGCTGCGTGACGTCACAGGTGCACGATGACGTGCATGCTCACAGCAGTTGGGGCATGAAGCTGCCGTGGGTGGGGTGGGTGCTGTCTCTGGCCCTCCTCCTAGACACACTCTACATCACCATCTCCACCATCAGGGAAGAGCAGCAGCGGGGGGCGGGGGGCTCTGGCTGGGATGATGTGAGGGTGAGGGCTTCCCAACTCACCTCCGTCAGCGCAACCGATCTCATAGGAGCAGAAAACATTTGATCCGGATTACTCGAAGCACAGTTACGTCAACAAAGAGATGAGATCAGAACACGGATGTGAACTTGAAGTGCGGCTTAGATTATTTGTTTTAATGTTAAGAATGAAAAGTTTCAACGTAATAAACCCACCTCCTTTCGTTATATCCAAACATTTATCAAAAATATACGTTTTACTATGATTTAATGAACGCTTTATTTGTGTTTTTTTTTAACTATGTGAAAATTGAGAATGCCCCCATTGAAGATATGGCCCACCCCGTGACCCACCCAAGCTGTATCATACCGTGACAGTGTCCTGACAGATCTCGGAATACGTGAACACAAGGATAGAACAAAACTCTGAGTACACGCAATTAAACTGCTTAACATCATATCTAACATTTTCCATTGCTTCTTAGGTCTCTGATTCTCAATTGATCTTTCTGCAATCACTTAAGTTTTTTCATGTATGATAATCAAATAAACACAGACAACGTCAAGGACAAAAAGAATGACTTTTTCAATTTTTGAGTTTTTGATTTCAACAAGGCGCTAAACTACGAAAAAAGATTAATTTTTCTTGAATAATTGTAAGTTTTTGCGTTTTAAATTAAGCCATTATAAGCTTTTAAGCCATTATAATGAGCTGTTGTAAGCCGCTCGCTCGCTTTGCTCACTCGAAAAACTATATACATATATATATATATAAATTTCAAATCGGGTTTTCCTAACACTGGGAACTTTAAAAAAAAACTTGTAAGTTCATTGGAATCACAAATGTAGGGAATTTAAAATGGTATATCATTCAACTCTCGCCAATGATTATTTGTGATAGCTGATTTTGTGTGCAAAACAAAAAAACTAAAACACATACGAAATTTCTCCCCATTTTTCGAATGGTCGGAACTATAAGATATTCACATTATGCAAAAAAAATGAAGAAACAAACGGGTTCAAGTTTTGCAATTTTGATCTTAAGAACAAATTATTTTCAGGCTTACAATCAGAAAAATACAAAGTTTCTGTGTGAATTACATCTGAGTATCAGACCTGAGGGATCGCCTTTGAACATAATAGAAAAAAGTGTCTGTGAATTACAAACAGTCTCAAAACTGAGAGAACGTCTTTAGTCAGAATACAAATATTCGTGTTTGAGTGAATTACAAACCAGTCTCAGACCTGAGAAAACGTCATTAGACAGAAGAGAAACAAAGTTTTTGTGTGAATTACAAACCAGTCTCAGACCAGAGGGAACGCCATTGAACAGAATGAAAAAAAGTGTCTGTGTGAATTACAAAACAATCTCAGACCTGAGGGAACGTCATTAGACGGAATAGAGGCAAAAATTTGTTGTGAGTTACAACCCAGTCTCAATCCTGAGAGAACGTCATCAGACAGAAGAAAAACAAAATTTTTGTGCGAAATACAATCCAGTCTCAGTCCTGAGAGAACGTCATTAGACAATAGAAACAAAGTTTTTGTGTGAATTACAGCCCAGTCTCAAACCTGAGAGAACGCCATTAGACGGAATAAAACAAAAATTTGGTATGATTCACAACACAGTCTCAATCCTGAGTGAACGTCATTAGACAGATAGGAAACGAAATTTTTGTGTGAACTACAACCCAGTGTAGAACTCAGATGAGGTCTTTAGCCAAAATAGAAACAAAAATTTTGTGAGAATTACAATCATGTCTTAGACAGAATAGAAACAAAGTTTCTGTTTGAATTACAACGCAGTCTTAGATCTGAGAGAATGTCATTAGAAAGATTAATGGCAATGTTCTTGTGTAAAAAACCCAGTCTCAAAACTGAAAGAATGTCATTTGAAGTCAGAATAGAAACACATTTTTTTGTGAGTTACATTCCAGTCTCAGACCTGAGAGAATGTCTTTAGGCAGAACAGAAACAAAGTTTTTGTATTGATTACAGCCCAGTATCAGACCTGAAAGAACGTCGTGAGACAGAACAAAAACTAAATTTTTTTGTGAAATACAAACCATTCTCAAAACAGAGAGAACGTCGTTAGACAGAATAGAAACAAACTATTCGTGTGAGTTTCAGCTTAGACTCAGACCTGAGAGAACCTCATTAAACGGAAAAGAAGAAAAAATTACAACAAAGTATCAAACCTGAGAGAACGTCATTAGACGTAATAGAAGCTAAAATTCTGTGTGAGTTACAACCCAGACTCAATCCTGAGCGGACGTCATTAAAAAATAAAAACGTCATTAAACAGAAAAGAAAAAAATACAACAAAGACTCAAAGCTGAGAGAGCGTCATTGGACAGAATAGGAAAAAATGTTTTAGTGTGAAATGCAACTCAGTCTCAGACCTGAGGGAGTGTCATTTGACTGAATGGAAAGAACGTTTTTGTGTGAATTACAGTCCATTCTCAAACCTGAAAGAACGTCATTAGACGGAAAAGAAGCAAAAAAATGGTGTGAATTACAACCCAGTGTCAATCTTGAGAGAACTTCATTAGACAGATAGGAAACGAAGTTTTTGTGTGCACTACAGCCCAGTTTTAGAACTGAGAGAAAGGTCATTAGACAAAAGAGAAACCAAAGTTTTGTGAGAAATACAACCATGTCCTAGAACTGAGAGAGCTTCATTAGACAGAGTAGAAACAAAGTTTTTAAGTTAATAACAGCGCAGTCTCAGATCTGAGAGAACACATTAGACAGAATAAAAGCAATATTTTGTGTAAAAACCCACTCTCAAACCTGAACGAATGTCGTTGGAAAACAGAATGAAAAAAAGTTTTTAATATGACCCAGTCGCAGACCCGAGAGAACGTTATTAGGCAGAATAGAACCACATTTTTTCTGTGAATTACATCGCAGTTTCAGAACTGAGAGAACATCGTGAGACAGAACAAAAACAAAGATTTAGTTTGTAAATTACAACCCAGTCTCAGAATTGAGAGAATTTCATTAGTTAAATTAAAAACAAAGTTTTTGCGTGAATTACAGATTAGTCCCAGACATGAGAGAACTTCATTAGACTGAATAAGAGCAATTATTTTGTGTAAAAAATCCAGTCTGAAACCCGAAAGAATGTCGTTAGAAGACAGAATAGATAATAAGTTTTTAATTGCGACCCAGTCGCAGACTTGAGAGAACGTCATTAGACAAATTAGAAACAAAATTTTTGCGTGAATTGCAGAACAGTATAAGACCTTAGATAATTTCATTAGACAGAATAGAAACCAAGTTTTTGAGTGGTTTACAACCCTTTCCAAAACATGAGAGAACGCCATTAGACAGACGAGAAACGAAATTTTTGTGTGAAGTACAATCCAGTCTTAGACCTGAGAGAACGTCATTAGACAGAATAGAAACACAGTTTTTATGTAAAATACAACCCAGTCTCGGACCTGAGCGATCGTCATTGGATAAAATTGAAGCAAAGTTTTTTTTGTGAATTACAGCCCAGTCCCAGACCTGAGAGAAGGTAAATGGATAGATAGAAAAAAAAATTGTGTGGTAAACAACCCAGTCCTAGATCTGAGAGATCGCCATTTGACAGAATAGACCGTCATTGGACAAAAAAGATTGTCATTTGACAGATAGATCTGAGAGAACGTCAATAGACATAATAAAAACACAGTTTTTTGTGAGTTACTTTCCAGTCTCAGACCTGAGAGAATGTCTGATTTTTGTATTGATTACAGCCTAGTCTCAGACCTGAGAGAACGTTGTGAGACAGAATAAAAGCAATGTTTTTGTGTAAAAACCCAGTCTCAAACCTGAAAGAATCTCGTCAGAAAACAGAATGAAAAAAAAAGTTTTTAATACGACCCAGTCGCAGACCCGAGAGAACGTCATTAGGCAGAATAGAAACACATTTTTTCTGTGAATTACATTGCAGTCTCAAACCTGAGAGAACGTCATTAGACGGACAAGAAGCAAAAATTTGGTGTGATATACAACCCAGTGTCAATCTTGAGAGAACTTCATTAGACTTATAGAAAACGAAGTTTTTGTGTGCGCTACAACCCAGTGTTAGAACTGAGAGAAGGTCATTAGACAAAAGAGAAACCAAAGTTTTGTGAGAATTGCAACCATGTCCTTGAACTGAGAGAGCTTCATTAGACAGAGTAGAAAGAAAGTTTTCAATTTGATTACAGCGCAGTCTCAGATCTGAGAGAACACATTAGACAGAATAAAAGAACGTTTTTGTGTAAAAACCCATTCTCAAACCTGAAAGAATGTCGTTAGAAAACAGAATGATAAAAAAAAAGCTTTTAATATGACCCAGTCGCAGACCCGAGAGAACGTTATTAGGCAGAATAGAACCACAATTTTTCTGTGAATTACATCGCAGTTTCAGACCTGAGAGAATATCTTTAGACAGAACAGAAATAAAGTTTTTGTATTGGTTACAGCCTTGTCTCAGCGAACATCTTTAGACAAATTAGAAACAAAGTTTTTGTGTGAATTGCAGAACAGTATGAGACCGTGGAATATTTCATAAGACAGAATAGAAACCAAGTTTTTGAGTCGTTTACAAACCATTCTAAAACATGAGAGAACGTCACTAGACAGACGAGAAACGAATATTTTGTGTGAAATACAACCCAGTCTTAGACCTGAGAGAACGTCATTAGACAGAATAGAAACACAGTTTTTGTGTAAAATACAACCCAGTCTCGGACCTGAGAGATCGTCATTGGACAAAATGGAAGCAATGTTTTTTTGTGAATTACAGCCCAGTCCCAGACCTGAGAGAAGGTCAATGGATAGATAGAAAAAAAATTTGTGTGGTAAACAACCCAGTCCTAGATCTGAGAGATCTTCTTTGCAGAATAGACCGTCATTGGACAAAAAAGATATTCATTTGACAGATAGACCTGAGAGAACGTCATTAGACATAATAGAAACACATTTTTTGTGAGTTAATTTCCAGTCTCAGACCTGAGAGAATGTCTTTAGACAGAACAAAAACAAAAATTTTGTGTGAAATACAACCCATTCTCAAAACTGAAAGAACGTCGTTAGACAGAATAGAAACAAACTCATTAAACGGAAGAAAAAAAATTACAACAAAGTATTAACACTGAGAGAGCGTTATTGGACGGGAGTGTCATTTAACTGAATAGAAAGAAAGTTTTTGTGTGAATGACAGCTCAGTCTCAAACCCGAGAGAATGTCATTAGACAGAATAGAAAAAAAGTTTTTGTGTGAAATGCAACCCATTCTCAAACCTGAGAGAATGTCGTTGGACAGAA